CCTTGGCTTTCTCTCAGCTGCGGTAGTCTCACAGACTTTCTGTATTTTTAATGAGGTTGAGCATTTTGAAGAGCACTGGGTGGTACTTTGTCTGTCTGTCTCTCCCTCTCTTGTGATTTTTCTAGGATTTGAGTAAGATTATGATGTTGTTGTTGTTGTTGGAAAGAAGAACACAGAAAGTGAGACTCCATCCCATGATATCAGAGGACCATCCTGTCACCATGGCGCAGCACTGTATACACTGACGTTGGCTTTCTCCACAGCAGTTATTTCCTTCCTCTCCCTTCCTGCACTGTTCCCCAAGGAGGAGAGAGTAGCCCACACACGGCCACAGAGTGGGAAGCCGTTAGCCTGTGAGCAAACGGCCCTTGGGAGGTGCTCTGGGGACGAGAGGAGAGCCCCGAGCAGGAAGCTTCCAACAACTGAGCAAGAGGTGGAGGGCCTGGCTTTGGCTGGCAGCAGAGGATGGGACATGACTGTGGACAGGAGTTAGTGGGAGCTGGGGAAAGTGGCATCATTGTTCCTTGATTCGCTGCCAACTGTCCGTCTTGTCTGTGTCACCTCAAGTGAGTCACGACATTCTTGAGTCTTCCTTGGTCTCTTGGTAAAAGTAGGTTGTTGGGTCCTGTGTTCTTCCCATGGAGACCTCTGAGAGTGAAGTGAGGGAAGACGGTGTGACAGTATCAAAGCCATCAAGCTGTGTCACATCAGAGGCTGAGGGGGGCTGTGGCACGGACGTTTCTGAATGTTTCAGGGGACAAAGCCCATGGGGCACTAGAGCACTGACCTTCTCATGCAGGTCCAGGGTTTTTCCAGCTCTGGTGTGTTTCATTTCCCATGAGCCTCTTCACAGGCCCTAGTCCTGTCATCTCCATGCAAGTATGGGCAAGCAAAGCCAGGTTGGCTCTGGATTCGGTTGGAGGGTGCAGAGGAGGCTCCGTGATGGCCTCTGAGGGAGGACGCCGAGCAGCTGGGGTCTCCTCAGTGTCTCGCCATCTAATCACGCCCCTGGAGTGCCACAGGTGTGGCTGCTTAGTCTACTTGAGTGTAAAAGTGAGCGCACGCCCCTTGGGCGTAGCTGCAGTAGGCAGGGTTGTTAGTGTGCCCTGGGGAGGTCTGCGCCCAGGGCAGGTTCTTTTCTTCATGTTCTTCAGAAAGTGTGCAGCTGTGTGCTGGGGCTCCCTGCACTTCTCCTGTTTGCCAATAAGGTGAACAAGCCGTGGGAGGCCTTCATGGCTTCTGCACTCACACCCTCACCTTCCGGGGCAAAGCCTCGGGCAAAGGGCACACCAGCCAGGGACAGGAACACGAGCCCTTATTCCTCAGTTTCCCCATCAGTAGAAGAAGCGGAGCCCGCCCAGGCTCTGATGGAGGCATCAGAGTGAAGGTTAGCGAAGGAGCCAGTCAGCTGACACTGTGGCTGCAGCACGGCTGTGAGTGTGCTGTGGGCAGCTCTGCACACCTGAGGGTGCAGCGGAGCAAACATGGCCATTCCATTGGTAACACCCAAACCTTCAAAGGCAGCCACAGAAACAGAACATCTTTGTTCGCCTTGGGAAAGGAGGAAGGTCCTTTTGTCTGCATCAATTTTGTCCTGTGGTGTGACAGTGTGTGTGTGTGTGTGTGTGTGTGTGTGTGTGTGTGTGTGTGTGTGTCAGGATGTGTGCATACAGATGTGTGCACCTGTGTGTGTGTGTGAGAGGGAGAGAGCTCGAGAGATCTCACCTCCACAGAGACACCGAGGAGGCAGACATCTTCCTTCTCTCACTGGGAGTCGGCCTGGCTGACTTAGCAGCATGAGTAGAGTCAGGAGGAGGCTGGGATGCCTGAGGCGTAAACTCGCTCTCTGTTAGGCATGCCCTGCGTCCTCATGTTCCTGAGAGGCTCCTGTGGCTGTGGCGGCACACACCCGCAGGGGAAGGGGGCCGTCTGGAGGGTTGTGCTCTTTTTCGGCAGGCCTCCTCAATGACAACAAGGCTAATACTCAAGGCAGAGTAGTCAGGGGTTAAGGCCTCGCTGGTCTGCGGAGGACCTGAGTTGGGGTTCCCGGTACCCACGTGGGGCACCCCATGGCTGCCTCTCACACTCCAGGGAGCCATCACTCTCCTCGGGCCTTCCTGACACTGCACTTGCTGCACAACCCCCCCCCCCCCCACACACACACATACACACATACACAACTAAAATAAAAGTAAAAACACTATTTAGGAACAAATGCTAGAGTTCTTCATCGGGAGTGTGGGTAAGAATGCTTGAGCAATTTGCTAAAAGGAGGTCCCTGGTCTCTGCACATGCGCAAATGGAGAGTTTTTAAAAAATCATTTATTTTTGTTTATTGCTTGCCTTAGGTTTTGAGACGAGGACTCACCGTGTTCTTCCGGCTAGCCTGGAGTTTCTGGTCCCCCTGCCAGGAGCACAGGGCGGCATTTTAATGCGATTGTGTGTATTTGCGTGAGCAGATGTGGTGTGCGGCATATCTGTCGCCTTGGACACGTACCGCCCTTTGCGTTGTGTTCCTTGTCACTTCCTATCCTCCTGCTGTCTTGAAATGCTCAGTTGTCAACCATGGTGACACGCTGCGAGTCTTTCCGCACACCAGCAACACTCCTGGAAGTGTTGACCATCCCCTCTTCATCATCCCCAGGCTCTGACAACCACGGCTGCCCTTGCCACCTTCCCAGGGTATGTCTGGGAACAGGCGACCTGTGTCTCTCTGCGCCTGGCCTTCATTCCTTCGTGTGGTGCCGCCTGTCACTGTAAGAGGCCAGATTCCATTCTTTTCTAAGGCTGAATACTATTCCGTTGTGTAGATGGCTAGGCTGCGTTTTCCTCATCGACTTCTTGGCCATTAGCAGATTGTGTGTCCACTGATCTCAACTCCTCCAGGTTTCTACCCATATTCGGAGTGCTGGTTGGAACCTCCGTACTCTTCTCTATATAACACTCGTGTGCGCTCTCACTGAGTGTGTCTGGGGGTTCCGGCTTTTCTGGGAGGCCCCGCCTGCCTTTCTTAGTTTTCCTTAGCTTTCACATGATAGCCTTTGGGGATGAGGTAACGTTTCCTTCCAAAGCAGAGCCACGACGGTTTAGGATTCTAGGGTCAGCACAGTTACCTTGGTGATGGCCAGGGTCCTGGGCCACCTGGAGACATGCACTGCCACATGCGTGTCATACGGTGCGTGGCCTATGCTGTCAGTGTTCTCTCTGGAAGCTACTTCTAGCATTGCGTGTAAAATTGGCTGACTAGATAGCTTACTTGTAAGTTTCCTGCCCTGCCCTGACAGTCTGCAGAATGGGCGCAGGAGGCCTAGGTGTGGACCTGTACACACACACTGGCTGCTGCCATGCGCAGGCTGCAGCACCTCCTCACCCGCCAGCGGGGGGCTGCGCTGCTCACCCCCGCCAGGCCAGGGTGGTGCAACAGGAATGAAATGACTTAGGTGTGCACGCCAGCACAGGATTGGCTGGGGAAATCGAAAGCCGCGCCTGTCCCCACCAGCATCTGGGGGGGAGCGGGGGGCTGAACTTTCTCTTAACGCCCACGGGAATAGATCTTCGGCCTTGTGGCACATTGCTCTCAGAGAACTTGATAGCATGCGAGCCCCTCCTTAATTCCTGTAGAAAATATGAACTTGAAGGTAAATACGGGCTTTCAAGAGAGAGCCTCTCAGGTAGATACGGGAATGCAGGGGGCCTGGGATGATGGGATCCCGGCGGAGGTGTGAGAGGCGGGTCACGGAGTAGCCCGGGCTGCACCTGCTTGCTCTCAGAACCTCACAACAAGAGCCTTGTTCCCCAGACACGGGCTGGGCACCTGGTTGTTGGCATCATCTTGCCCAAACTCTTCTCAGCAAAATGGGGGTAGGGGAACGCTCCATGCAGGACAATACGCCACTGTGCACGCCACAGCACACAGCCAGCGCCTCGCCTGCCGAGCTCTTAGTGGTCTTTCTGCCTTGGGTCTTAGTGGTCTCACGTTACCTGCCCAGCGCAGTTTTCCTACTTGACAAGCTTTTAAAAATGCCATTTACTCATTGTGTTGGTTGATCAAGTGTCACATGGACTCCAGGGCTCTTCACCAGCAATGAGGGCCTAATGACACTCTGACCAAGGAAATGCAAGCCTTATGCTTGGCTCAAACCTCGCTGCCTCCCTGCTGCCTCTCCGAAGCTCAGGCTGTGCACCCTACTCTGAGGCCAGGGCAGCCAAAGTAACCTTCCATTTCTGAAAACTGTGCTCTGACTCTGAGAGGATCCGCTCCTTGAGCCCCTCATTCGCACCAGGCCTGCTCCAGTCCCCTTTGCTTTACAGGCAAGGAAGCAGGTCCTGTGCAGAGGGATCCAGGCCGCCCAGATTGCTGTTACCTTTAAAGGTTTTGCTCATAGCGTGTGTGAGGAACTGTGCACACCATGAGAGTCCTGTAATGGGCCTCCAGTAGATCAAGTCCCCACATTAGGAGAGAGAATGTTCACTGATGACGTGAGAAATGTTCACTGATGGGAGAGAAACTGTCCCATACTGCCCGAGTGTTTACCAGTTCATGAACATTCTGCTCTGACAGGGGAGCTGGGACATGAACTACAATTAGGAAAGAAACCAAACAGACTGTAAGAAATGGTCGCATCTCTAAGGAACCAGTGATTTACAGAGCCTCCTTCTGGAAGGCGTTAAGTCAGCAAAAGATGTCACAAACTGAGAGCAAAATGCAAAGTGGGACAAGATTGTGTTTGTCATGACCCAGTGTGTCCCTGAGAAGCTGAGGCAGAAGACAGGAAGGTCCGTGACGAGCAAGCTTGTATGTCCCCAGAGGACTTCAAGGCTTCCACTGACCCATGCATCCGTGAAGCCAAGGTCTTGGGGTCCAAGGTCGTGGGATGGGGTGCGTGCGCCCAGCTCATGCTTACTGAGAGGCTGTGGGGCTCTTTTGCCACACTTCCTTGTAAAGACAGCGTTCTAGGAATGCTTCCTCTTCAACTAAACCTTTTGCTGTTTCTTTCCAGTGGTCCATCCCCAGGACCCTCACCACTCCTCAGAGAAGCCTGTCATTCATTGCCACAAATGCGGGGAGCCATGCAAGGGCGAAGTGCTTCGGGTCCAGACCAAGCATTTCCACATCAAATGTTTCACCTGCAAAGGTACAGTACCTCCAGCATCCTGCTCAAGGGTGTGTGGCCGTCGGGACCCACAGGCCCCAGTGATGTCTGCATGTTTTAAGAGGTTCCTGATGCATTTACCTCTAGTTTATGAGTAGCTTAGACTTCAGGGAGAGAGAAAACCCTTTCAAGGTAAAGCCTTGGGGCAGTCATTGAGGTTCTGAACCTGAGGGGGGAGAAGCTTTGTGGAAATACATTGAAAATGGAGTTTTGAGATTTCATATTTCCTATTTTTTTTTCTCTATGAAAGAAGAGATTCCTACTAACGTAACTTTGTTATTCAGTGTTTATGGAAGGACTGGAAATATTCACTATGAATTCTCAGGGCTGGAGAGATGGCTCAGTGGAGAGGAGCACTTGCTGGTCTTGTAGAGGACCCAGGTCAGTTCCCAGCATGCCCTTGATAGCTCTAATGGTCATCTGTGGTTCCACGGGATCTGTCACCTGCTTTGGGCCTCAGTGAACACATGTGTATATGCATGATACACAGACATGTAGACAGACATACACATAAAATAGAAAACACGAAACTTTTGAAATGAAGGGTTGGCTGCTCAGTCAGTGTGTGTGTGCACTGGTGCATGTTGAGGAGCAAAGATTCAGCAGAAAAGCAGCTCTGCACGATGCAACTTAACAGTGCTGTCCACTTGCAGGACCGTGTCCTGCAGCTCACCAAGGCTGGATAGTTAGTCTGGACGCTTTGGAACGCTGGGTCCGCAAACTTCAGGGAAAGCAGGCAAAGAGAGCACTTGATACCTGTCTTTACTTAAATTTGTTTTTGTTTTTCTTTTATATGTATTGGTATTTTGTTTGCATGGCTTACAGACAGTTGTGAGCTACCATGTGGTTGCTGGGAATTGAACCAGGTCCTCTGGAGAAGCAGCCAGTGCTTTTAACCACTGAGCCATCTCTCCAGCCCCTGGTGCATGTTTTGAGAAACAGGTCACCAGAGTTCACGAAGTGTCTGGGCACATGTGATGTGCAGCTGGTGATGTAGGGAGGGAGGAACAGGAGCCGCTGAGCCTGCTCCCTGCTTCCCTTTGCACCTCCCTGCTCTCACACCTCGTCTCTGCACACCAGGCTTCCCTGTGAGCATCCTGCTACCTCAGCCACTTGTTCACTGCCCACAGGTTCCTGGTGGCTGGTAAGGGGGTAACCAGGGTGTGTGAAAGAGCAGGATGCTTCTCAGGACTCAGTTTCTCCCACCACACTAAAGCTCTCCAGGAGAGAAGCTGGAAGGAGGGCAGGCAGGAGTTAGTGTCAGCTAAGCTCGGTGCCGAACATACTGTGATGGTTAACCATGTCTTACAGGCACAGTCCTTGCACACATTCATTGCAAGTGCTCTTGCCACAGGAAGGGACTGTGTGACTCTGCCAGCTGCTGGAATGTTCACTAGTTCAAGGATAGGAAGCTGGGCGTGGTGGCGCACGCTCACTCCCGATCCCAGCACTGAGGAGGCAGAGGCAGGTGGATCACTGTGAGTTCGAGGCCAGGCTGGTCTACAAAGTGAGTCCAGAACAGCCAGGGCTACAAAGAGAAACCGTGTCTCAAAAAAAAAAATTTTTTTTTAACTGTAGTGATGATTTTACTATATACACAGAGCACCATGTGTCTACATTAAAGATACACATAAACTAAATTTATTTAAAAGAAGTGTTCTAATACACATAAAATATTCAGGGATTATTTGATCCTCCTTATGAAGTGCTCTCTGGAGTAAGTGTGGCCAGCTCGGGTTTTGGAGAGCCCTTACTGATCCTTGGAAAGCCTGGGTCAGCTGTTCCCGGGCGACGACTATTCAGCTCCACTGTGGGCCAGAGTCTTGACGTGCCTGAAGCAATGTAGTCTCGGGCGGGTCACGCGTCTTTCTGTGACTTAGTGCCGTATTTATAGAATAAGCCTTCCATCCCCTCAGATCTGCAGCGTGCACGGGCCATCAGCTGGAAACCATAGGTGCATACAGTACAGAGCCCAAGAACGAGGCTTCCTACGTAACATGGCTGAGAAATGGTTTCTGGTCCCACCCAGTTTGGATAACGTGGAGTTAGCATTTTTTTTCTTCAGCTTTTTGCTCATGAATTTCCAGAGACATGGCTCAAGAAACAGATAAGGCAGGAAATAAATGTAGCATGTGGATGGCTGCAGCCATGCATGTGTCTGCGATTTCCAGGGAGCTTTGAGAGATTCACGCACATGTCCCTAACCACGGTGGTCCCTTGGTTTTTCCTGTTTCCTGGCCTAAATCCAGTGGCTGAGGATAGCTTCTTTATGTTGGAAATTTGTACCTTGTACCTTGTTTCATGCTGTAAGTGTTTCCCTGAAGTGATGAATATTTTTCTTAGACTGGATCCTGTTTTTAGAGCATGTGCCTATTTCTGAGGAATTATTTATTTGGCAGTTTAACAAAAAGTTGCTAAAGCAAAACCAGCCATCCACTCTTGTCAGTCTGTCTCCTTGCGCTTAGTTGTCAGTGCGTCCTGACTGTGTCCTGACCCTCTGGGGCCCATCTTTCACTACTGGAGATGGTTGAAGCTCCCATATGGCACCCTGTAGGGGATCTGTGGCTTCCCAAAGATGCCAGAGCTGCATAGATCAGGATTCAAAGCCATGTGTGTGACTCAAAGTATTCTAATAGCAAAAAGGGACAATTATATTTAATTTTCATAATATGTTTTATTTAGCTATCTGTGTCAAAACGGCATTTTAATTAGCATAAATTGTTGAGCTATCTGGCATTTTTCACCCTACTTAACACAGGCCAGTTTGGCCTCGTCCTGTTTCGAGTACTCAAAAGCCACCCGAGGTGGTGGTCTCCACATTGGACAGCAGCCTTCCACAGACTGCCTGAGGCCTGTGTTCTCATGGCTCTCACTCCAAATTCTTAGGCTTCCTGTGGGAAGGGTGAGCATTGCTTCCCCATGCTGGCGCCATCACTCTTCTGCCTCTGTTTTCCAGCTGGGGGTAGCTGGGGTCTGCTGCTGTTTTGTGGTTTTTTTGTTGGTTGTTTGGTTTTGGCTTTGCTGAGTGTCTGGAGAAACGGGGGAAGGGATAGTATGAAACGGCATGGAGGGGAGAGCCCTGCTTGGGCATCTCAGCCAGTTACCCTCCCACTGACCAGCCTGTCTTCCACCTCTTCATCCTTTCCTTCCTTCTCTCCCTTTCTTTCTCCTTAAATTTTTGAAATTATTTTATGCATATGGATGTTTTGCCTGCCAGTCTGTGCATCCATCTGTGCAACTGCCACAGAGCCCAGGAGAGGGTGTTGGATCCCTGGAACTGGAGTTACAGACTATTGTGAGCTACCATATGGGTGCTGGGAACCGAACCCAGGTCCCCTAGAAGAGAAACCAGTGCCTTGCCCACTCAGCCACTTCTCCTGCCCCATTCCTTTCTTTTTTCAATTCAAAGACTGCATGTTTAGAGCAATTTTAGACTTATAGAAACAAACAAACATCCTGTACAGACAGGACCATTTTTCCATCTGCTGCCATTTTGGTAGGACTCAACTCTCCACAGAGATGTCTCTCAGGATGAAGGGCCTGTAGGGGGCAGCAGTGGCCACCTCAGAAGCACTGGCCTCTTTCTTACCCACTCCTGACTGCAGCTCAGTCCTTACACTCATTTCATGTTTTCCAGTTACAGCTGGAATCTGGTTGTGCTGTTCAGACAGCTGGTGAGCCAGCATCTTGGGGTGGAAGATTTGGGGCCGGAACATGTGCCAAACACACTCTTGGCAAAAGCCAGCTCAGCGCTGACTGTGAACTCTCACTGCCCTGCTCTCACCTCACCCCGGGCCTGCTGTCCCTCACACATGCAAACTATGTCCACAGAGCTTTATTTCTTGAGTGTGGCAAGGATGTTTTCTGTGGTTAGAAAGGACTAAGATCCCTGTGACAGAGAAAAGAAAAGATGAATGGTTGTTGCTTTAAGGGGGGGGGGGTTGAAAGAAGAGAGAGGACACTGGACTTCTTACGTAAGAGCCACACAAGTCACAGCATGAGACTTGGCTGCTGTCGGGTCACAGAGAACACAGAGGGAGGAACTGAAACTTTAAGCAGAGTCCCAAAGTGTCACTGGAAACAGATTTGGCCAAAAGGTTGGTTCTCTTAGTCCTCAGGGTAGCTTACCAGATACATTTTTTTCCTAAATGCTTTAGACTTCTCTGGTATTAAAAAAAAAAAAAAAAAAAAAAAAAAGATCTAGGGTGTTACCCTAAAAATAACCAAGAGAAACAAGACTCATTATGATGGCTAACATATCAAAGTACTAAATAAAAATATCTAACATATGATGGAACTGAACTTCAACTCACATGTGAAAGATACTCAGAGGTGCCCAGCACTGACACACCCCTTATTAGGAGCCATTCCTCCAGGAGCATGAGCTGCACAGAAACCACCATGTCCACACCCACGTGGCAATAAATGCCCTGAGGCTGTTTTGAGGATTCTGATTCTCCTGCAGGGCATTGACCACAACCACACAGGAGCAAGGGGGGAAACTGAAACACCCATATCAGCAGAACAGTATCACAGACTGAATAAAATGTCAAGGGGTTCCTTGAAACTGCCACTTCCCAGGATATGTCACAGAGTGAATGAAATAAACTTCTGTTGCAGAGCGAGTGTTGGCAGGTAACAGGAAGAAGAAAGGGGAAAGTTACTGAGCACTGAAGGCTGAGGTGACCCAAGCTCCACCGTTCTTTCTACCATTTTTGAACTAACGTTTCTTACGTATCTGGTAGATCATTGGGGCCTTTTGCCTGTGTACTGCTGATGGCACAGGGCATGCCAACCCACAACACTGTTCGTAAATAAACAGCTAACGCGCTGTGCAGCCCACTAGGAAATGTTGTTAGTGACGTGCCTGTCAGCAGGGGTTAGCTACTAACTACTATGGCACGTGCCCTCTACTGGAGCCTGGCCGGCGACATCCAAGAGAAGCAGACAAAGGCATCTGCCTGTCCCTGTTCACAGAGTGC